ATTTTACTGCGTTCTTTAGTATTTAAATGGCAATAGCGGTTCAGTGAGAGTCCTGATGATGTAAAAGCAATACTGGACGCTGACTGAAAGCTACCATCAACGCAAAGATGATTAAAGATATTAGGTCGTGTCAAGATACGGACAATTATCATACTATTGAAAAACAATTTAGATGATCGGTTGTAGCTGTCGAATATTTTGGTGCATGTTTCATAAGCATCTGCATATGCCTAACGTTTTGATGTATCTGGAAAAGCTGTCCATACTACCTACCCACCGGACCTTATAACTATGAAATTCGCAATGTTTCAAGATGTAATTGTGTCGCTAACGTCGAAGAAGATATGTTACAATTATGTTAATACGAAACCTAAACTATTTCTTACTAAATAAAACTACGAATAGTGATAACAAAAAGCTTGAAATGATATTTTGCAACAATCCACTTACATGTGCTTTGATATACTTCTTTATTTGCAAAGTGTGAATTCAAATGTAATGTAACAAAGAAAGCAAAACCGCAAACAAATATAATTGCATATGAATATTTTATTGACACAATTTATGATATATTTATTCGATATTTTAATAAGTATACAAATAAGTTTTCATATCAGAGCTGAAAATGTGAAATCAGGGTATTAGTAATATTGCCTTTATTTCAATATCTTTATCACTTTATGAAAAATAAAGTAATGTAAGATAAAGATATTGAATAAAGGCAATAATATTTAGAAATGTTCATTTATATATATATATTGGTAAATGTTTTTGTGTCTTCGATTAATCAAATGTCAGGAAATAATAAATATAAAGTAATGAGGGTTGGTGTTTATAATGGTAAGAAACACGTCGTATCCATCAAATCTTTGATCATACATTTGCGGTCCCTAAGTATTGGAAATTTAGGTTTGCGCTTTATTTGTTACATGTCATGAAATAATGCATACAGAATTTTAATATGCTTGTTTCAGGTTAATCATTTTGCTCAGATTAAACCTTTCCTCTCATGAAAGGTGTCTATTCTCTTGCATTTTCCTTCCACTTAACAATTCATGTAAAGTAATACTGTTTATTTGCTGTTTTAGCACACAACATGTCAATATATCTTGTTTTTATTGTCGTATAACGTGTTATGAGACAATGTAGCACGTGAGCCTACCATCCCCCGCATTTTGAAAATCCTCAAAGGGATAAAGACACCTATTAAGGTGATGTATTGCTCTTGCGATTTTTTAAAGTTGTTTTTACAAATAACTCCGTAAAGTTTTAAAGAGGGATCTACCGCAACAAGGATGAAATCCCTCTAGAGCAATAAAGAAACACATAATTCTTGGGGATAGCAGACATGGTTTGATTCAGTCTATTTAAGAAAAAAAAAAGAAGTAGCACTAGCTTTTAATGTTGTTTACTCATTTTACCTAGGTACCGAATAACGCAAATTTGTCTTGACAAAAAGTATTACGTAAAGATCTATGCTCTTGGAGAACAAGAACAAATATAGTAAAATTCGACTTAAAACAGCGAAATATCAGTTTGTATGGCAATCCTCGGGAACAAAGAAAGTAAAAAAAGTCGACGCCATTCGATTGTATAAGTTTAAGAGGGAATGTGATATGTGACTCGTTGATTCACGAGCTATAATCAACAGATACTGATTGCAGTGTTCTACTTGTTTTAGTTCATACCACGCAAAACCTTAATGACAATGAAGTTCAATGGATGTAACCAGTCAAAAACAAATCAGCCTATTCTCAAAATGCCCTTTACGAACTAAAAATTATGCTATGTAAGTATATTTTAAGGTCGTGAGAATATTGTGTTTTTAAAGTTTTAAATTAGTTTAACAAAGTCAAAAACTGCTATTTTTTTACAAGGTTTATTATACTATCACAAACATTATCTTGAAAGATCAGCTCAACATTGTTCATTTGTTACATAACGTCATATTAGCAATGATAAAAGTTGTGTACGTCATTTCCAGCAAATCCAGTAGCTGCTTAAGTTATGACGCACATAATGATTAATTTTGAGAAAAATCAAAATCGGCGAAATAAAGTATTGAAACTACACCAGCACAAACATAAAAAGGAAGATTTTACTGCGTTCTTTAGTATTTAAATGCGATAGCAGTTCAGTTAGGGTCCTGATGACGTAAAAGCAATACTGGACGCTGACAAAAAACTACCATCAAGGCAAAGATGATTAAAGATATTAGGTCGTGTCAATATACGGACAATTATCATACTATGGAAAAACAATTTAGATGATCGGTTGTAGCTGTCGAATATTTTGGCGCATGTTTCATAAGCATCTGCATATGCCTAACGTTTTGATGTATCTGGAAAAGCTTTCCATAATACCTACCCACCGGACCTTATAACTATGAAATTCGCAATGTTTCCACATGTAATTGTGTCGCTAACGTCGAAGAAGATATGTTACAATTATGTTAATTCAAAACACAGAAACTATTTCTTACTAATTGAAACTACCAATAGTGATAACAAAAAGCTAGAAATGATATTTTGCAACAATCCACTTACATGTGCTTTAATATACTTCTTTATTTGCAAAGTGTGAATTCAAATGTAATGTAACAAAGAAAGCAACACCGCAAACAAATATAAACGCATATGAATATATTATTGACAAAATTTATGATGTATTCATTCGATATTATTAATATACAAGTAAGTATACAAATAAGTTTTCATATCAGCGTTGAAAATGTGAAATCAGTGTATAAGTAATATTGCCTTTATTTCAATATCTTTTTCACTTAATGCATGAAAGGATCATTCAATAATAAAGTAATAAAAGATATAGATAATGAATAAAGGCAATATTATTTCGAAAATTTCATTTTTGTATATATTGGTCTTTGATTCATCAAATGTCAGGAAATAAGAAATATAAAGTAATGAGGGTAGGAGTTAAGTTTTTTTCTGGTAAGAAACACGTCGTTTCCATCAAATCTGTGTTCATACATTTGCGGTCTCAAAGTATTGGAATCATATGTAATAAAGAATACAATAAAAGAACAATATATTGTGAACAAATTAATAAAGTAGGTAGATATTTTGTTTCATATACTGTTTTTGCCAGATGTTCATTTCATGGCAGATATATTATTAAGAAAAAGAAACATTCACGAAATAAGTGTTTAAACTGGTTAAAAATTGAAAACATTAAAGAAAGCCTAAAAATGACAAAATCTAATTTTACATATTTGAGGCTCGATTTTACCGAGCCTGTTTTTGAACAGTAGATATAAATTCAAACTACTGTCAAAGGCCTTTTGCATCTGCTTTCGCATGATTAAGTAAAATTCATGAAAATAGTAAGCTTTTAGTTTCTAAATTTGGAACAAAAAAAGACTGATGTTCCATTCTTTTTACTAAACTTTGAGGTGTTGACCTGAAACTTTAAAAATGAATATATGGCCATTAAAAAAGGTGTAGTGATTAATTAAGAATCTTAACTTTTTATCGTTTTTATAATAAGCTCATATTTAATTTAATCTTAATATTATACAAGTGATTGACTTGAAATTGAAAACGTAAGTAGATGACCTTAAAGCTAAAAACAATAACTATATATACCCATTTTTGTATAATTTTCCTTGATGTCATTTCTTGTTTTTAGGTTTTATCCAGAGCATAAGTGATTTATTTGAACATTTAATATTGGTAGATAGCTTCTAGTAGAAATGCAGTTATTAAGAACGATAACTCTGTATGGGTTCCTTTGTTTTTAATTATACTCTTTTATCAAATTCCCTTAATTTGTTTCCTTTTTTTATCAAGAGCATAACTCCAAATCTATACCTTGCGTTCATTGAACGCCGCCTTTCCTTGTTGATCTTGTTTATCATATTTACTTGGAATGACATGAAACTTTTAAATATAAACAGATGACAACGAAGAATGTAATGATAAAGAACTCTTCTTCCCTGAACTTGTTTTTATAATTTTTTTCGTCTGCAGTGTATTTCTACACATGTGATCGAATTGGAACTTAAATATTCTGTCTTAATTGGCGAATAAACGTTTTAAAAGAAAGATATTCAGCACACAAACACATGATCATGTCTACGTGACTCTTGTTATAATTAACTTAACTGATGCTGCTTTTTTGTTATTTATTGAAATAAAAATAAAAGCAACGAATTTCTAACAGTGATTAAATAATTGAATGTATTTGCCGCACATAAACAGCTAAACTTGATTACCGAGAAACATTAATTGGCTAGTTTTGCTTGTTTTTATAATTGACATGCAGTTTATACAACCCTGCCTGAAAACAAGTAGTGTTTAAGTTCAACTATGACTTAGACTTGTTGGGCTCTGCGTTTAATAATATTTCAAAAAGTATCCCAGTAATTCAACTTCTAACTAAGATTTTATCACCATTATTTTTGCACGCACAGGCAAAATTATTAAACAGGTAGAATAATGAATTACTTATATAACGGCAAATTCACTTATGTACTTACTTTTTTAAAGTAATTGTTAAAGTTTTAATAACATTTTTATGGGTAACGACAAACACAGCATTCTCTTTTTTAAACATTTCATGACAAAATGCAATTTGTTATTAATTTGTAATTTTAATTCTTATTCATGAAAATTATGTTGTTTGCTTAAATTTCCATCAGTCATGGAAATAAATGTCATAGAAATACATTGCCATACTGAAGATTAAAATCTGAATTTTAGAACTAGAATATTTAGTATATAATTTACAATATAACAGCATCAGTTTCCTCTAGTATAGTATGTTTTAGATATTTCACCAAAGAAATATGGCGTTTTAATTTATTTCAGAAAATATCATTCTTGTTGACAAGAACCTATATTTAATGTAACACCCAACATTAATATAATTTTAAAAAAATATAACCGATAGAAAACTAAATGTTGACACTTCTTTAAAAAATACAATAAACAAATTCAAATAATGATTGTTGAAATATTTAAAAAATAATTTTGACTTACCAAATATAAGTGTTAGCATATCTGAAATAGCAAGACTTAACAAATAGTAGTTAGTGGCTGTGTGCATGTATGTATTTCGTGTTATCACAATGCATGTACATATATTTCCAGAAATTCCTGTTATAAATATCAAAACGTAAAAGAACGTCAAAAATGCAACAGACGTTATATCACGACGTTTTTCACCCATCATTTCTTCTACAAACGCTTCTACATCAAAGTCCGTAGATGTTATATTCAAAGTAGTTGTTTCCAAATGTATATAAGTTATATTTTCCAACTTTAAGTATTCCATTGCACAACTTTTATGATTTGTATAAAGTATACATTTTGATAATAAAGTTTTATCTTCTCAAGTTCAATTATGAAGAACAAACATTGAAATTGTATATAAACAGTAACAAAATCCAATAAAAGGAAATGATTGGAATTCAGTTGATTTGTCTTTGTAGGACCTTATTCATCTGATACAAAAATATTCACATACGAGGTTTTATTAAAATCAACACAATTCTGTTGAAATAGTTGCAGGACTAAAATAGTAATCCGTTACATTTTACTGCATTTAAACACCATATCTATAAACCCCCTCACTAAGCAATATGTAAGAAGCGAGCAACGTGTAAATATCCAATAAACTGCTACCACACCAATGTCGCGAAGAAATCTTGACCTTAGAGCCTTTCTATCGATATTGGTAATTTTCATCTTTAGAAAGAAAACGTAAAGGGTCAAATTCATTCATGATTTGATCACTCTTGTTTTCTTCGAAGGAGAATAAAATATAATATAAAGTAAATTAATATTTTTTACATGTATATATGTACATAATATTACATGTTTCATCATATGACACTAGAACTGGTTGGTTCCAGGAAGCGAACTCGAAAGTGATTAATCTAAGTTGCAAGTACTTGTTTCGCAATCGAGCTTAAATAAATATGTTTAAACCAAATAAATATTCTTAGCTACGTAAATATTTAGATTATAATTTATTTAAGAGATTGAATTGACGTCTGCACATATCTACTTAAATAAATGTATTATGTTCAGGGTGTTACAACTTCAGAGTTAAATTGTTTAATATTTTAATTTATCATTAGCAGCAGGACTCTAGAAGGTAACAGAAAAACTAGTACTAATATTTCAAAATACATCCTTAAAAACATTATATAGTTAAAAGAAATAGAAATAACACTTCAAAATGTTCATATTTTAATATTTTTGCTCTGAAAACAAACTGATTGCTGTTCCACCAACCGGGTATACCTTCATTTTTTATTATACGGAACTCCTTCTTTCGGGTTTTTATTCTAGTACCACGTGATGATTCATGTAACTATCGCGACCAGTGATCCGAAATGCACGGAATCCGGGATTTTATCAAACATAGAGGGAAACGAATAAACTGCTTTGATTTTGAAATTTGTAGTATTTTGTGAAACTAAAAATTATAATTTATTAATTTTATAATATATATGATGGACATAACATTGATTTAAACTTTTACTTGAAACATAATTAGGGCCTACTCATTCACGAAAATTGATATTCGACTCCGGCGTTACCGGATACGGGATTTTTCCGAATCACAGTTACGACACGTGATCATGTTGAATGTATTGTCTTCTCCTATTTATATTTGCTACTGCGTTAGTACCGTAGTAGATTATGCAAAGAATAAACACAATATATTTATGCTTTTGTCAACATTCTGTCTTGAATTAAGATGTCAGTAATAATGGATTTACACATAATTCACCGTTTACTTGAAATTTTATTTCATTTTCTTTTCTTTTCATTTTACCATCTGGAGGCGTGTCGCTTTAATATATCAACATTCTGATGAATACATATTCTAAATAACAAGGGTTTCAATTTTTAAACTATTGCATTTTGTAAAAAAAAACAATTTTTAAACAATGGCGATGCCTTAACAAGGACATGAAAGTTATATTCTGCTAATAGGCCGACTACTTGCACAATCGTGTTATAAGCAGTACTGCCTAATTGATTTTGATTTAGGGGGCGTAAATGGTATCTTGCACTTCCATTTCCAGTACCGTTGATGAACAGGCTGACCTCTCCGTCACATAACATTCTAATCACGTGATAGAGATAACAAGAGGGCCATGATGGCCCTGAAGTCGCTCACCTGTATATAGGCCCCCGGAGCGGGGCCAGTTTAAACCCCAGGGCTTTTATTTGAACAAACTTGGTAGACACCCATGGATTAGAAGACGTTTCATGCTAAACATCTAAGCTCTAGCTCGTTGGGTTTTTTATAAGAAGATTTTTTTAAGTTTTTTTTTTCTATACCTTTGGGGCGGGGCCAGTTTTGACCCCAGGGTTTTTATTTGAACAATCTTGGTAGACACTTACCAGAAGATGTTTCATGCTTAATATCTAAACTCTAGCTATTCATGTTTTTTTCAAAGGTTTTTGCTATACACATATAAGGAAAATCAATGTCCCCCGGGGCGGGCCAATTTTGATCCCAGAGCTTTTATTTGAACAAACTTTGTGGACACTCACTAGAAGATGTTTCATGCTTAATATCTAAACTCTAGTTATTTGAGTTATTTCAAAGAAGATTTTTTTACGTTATAAGAACAATCAAAGACCCCGGGGCGGGGCCAATTTTGACCCCAGGGCTTTCATTTTTCAAAGAAGATTGTTTAAGTTTTTGCTATACACATATAAGAAAAATCAATGACCCCCGGTGCGGGGCCAATTTTGACCACAGGGCTCTTATTTGAAAAAACTTGGTAGACACCCATTAGAACATGTTTCATGCTAAATATCTTCGCTCAAGCTCTTTAGGTTCTTAAAAAGAAGATTTTTTAAGTTCTTACTATATGCATATAGGGAAAATCAATGACCCCCTTGGGCGGGGCCAATTTTGACCCCAGGGCTATTATTTGAACAAACTTAGTACTCACCCATTAGAAGATGTTTCATGCTAAATATCTAAGCTCTAGCTCTTTGGGTTCTTTAAAAGAAGATTTTTAAGTTTTTTTTTCTATATGCATATTGGGAAAATCAATGACTCCCTGGGGCGGGGCCAATTTTGACCCCATGGCTTTTATTCGAACAAACTTGGTAGACACTCACTAGAAGATGTTTCATGCCAAATATCTAAGCTCTAGCTCTTTGGGTTTTTTAAAAAGAAGATATTTAAAGTTCTTTCTTTTGGTTGCCACGGCAACTAGAGTTCTGCATTGAATTAAATTCTTTGAACAATTTTCAAAGGTGACCACCAAAGGAACATTCCTCATCCTGTATCATTTAATGATTAACGTGTCGTTGCCCTGTCCTTTTTATGTTTGGGGTCCACCTGGGCTCCTTGCCATTGGTTTTTGTTGCTGGGTCATATGGGGGTTGCGTTCATTGAGCGCCGCCTTTCCTTGTTGATCTTGTTTTTCATATTTTGGATGAAATTGGCTTAGTGGTTTATGAGGAGATGTCATTTAAGTAAAGTAAAAGTTTACTGACGACGGACGAAAAGCGATCACAAAAGCTCACCCTGTCACTTTGTGACAGGTGAGCTAAAAATAACAATCACTTGTCGTTACAGTACAACCTCGGTAGATAGACGAGAGCTTGACCAGATAGTTATATGAATTTGGAGGTAAACTAACCGGATTTCTTTTTTTTTACTCCTAAATTATTAAAATTAGGTCATCATAAGTCTTTGCTCCATTATTTTCAAGTTAATTCTATATGAAAAGACCATTGACCAGATTTGGTTAAGAGTACTAAGTATGATTATTTTACCTGGAACTCAGTTTGTGTACAGGAAGATAACATGTTATTACTATTATTATAACATTTATTAAAATATACATCAGAAATCGATGAATATGAATTGTAATAAAATAATAATATAAAAAAGTGTATATTAAACTTAAACAGATTCGATCATAAAAAATATTGAATCTATAACGTAAAAATTACTTTTACTTTGGGTTAAACTGACCAAATGTTTAAATTGTGTGTTATTTAATTTCCGTCGTCTGTTGTCGATTTATATTACGCTATTGAATCCAACTCACTTCTACGAATCTTGAGGCCATGTTACGACCCTTTGAAATCGATTAATCTTGACAATTATCCCCCCCCCCCAATGGCTGAAATTAACGGTCGAGGCAGCAGAATTGCAATCACCGTTTATCCCTGCGTGATCGTAAGAGGCGACTAAATGGGTCCAAATCACAGGAGTCTATGCATCTTTAAGTTCCTGCAGTGAGATGGTTTCGACCCTAGTGTTGCTCTAAGCCTGTAACATACGAGGTTAGTCAAATCATCATTCCCGTTTCAGCGCCATTAACCTAAATAGTGATGGTGTGCCGTAAAACCAAACAAAACAAACGGGCAAGACAATTACCTTATTGATTAAAAGGAGGCAAAACAATATGTTATATTCTTCTTCAACAATATTGCTTGAATACCAATCTACTATGGAAAATGCGGCTGCATTATTTGATAGGATTCCATTGGTCTTATATCACTGGGGGGTTTTGTTTCGTTAATTGATTTAACTTGATGATTAATTGATACATATTGTTAGGCTTCATCAGCGCATTTTAACAATTATAAAAATGTTCAACATAACTTTATAAAAAAGTTTCTTTTAAAAGCTCGTAATTGATGGTAACCTCAGAACTAATAATTGTTGCTTATTATTAAAAAGTAATTTGCATTGTCTAAAACTGTTTCCTCAATTTTAATAATCTTAAATTACTCGCCCACCTTTAGAAAATTGTCATTAAAAGTAACTTAATCTTTAAAGTTACACACCACAATAACAACCTTTGAATTAAATGGCAAGACAGTATGGAAGAACGAAAAGCCATTATTACACAAATTATACCTTAAGCAAAACTCTGAGCGATGTCTGACGGTATATACCTTAGTGTAATTGGCTTTTGTGTTATTTATTGTCTCTATGTAATTGATGAAATTGAAAAGACAGCAGGTCACTCAGTAAGTTCACAGGAGACAAGGACGTCAGAATCGTCTGTATGCTGTGAAAATATTTTTCAGACACGCAACAGACTTATAAAATAAGCTTATTACTGATATTTATAAACTGGTTACTACAATGATGAAATATTTCAAACGTTAATTTAATACACGAATGTTATATGAATGATATATTTTAGAGAAAAATAGAATAAATGAAATTAAGTAAGAAAAATTAAACAAGAGGGCCATGATTGCCCTGAATCGCTCACCAGAAACAACTGGGTTTTTTTTCAGTGATAATAGAAATATCTTGTAGAAAGACAAGTCCAGGTCAACTTGCCTCTCTAGTTGTAAGGTTTCCCGACACTGAATGCTTTTTTCTTTATAGTAAAAATGATAGGAACCAAGTTTGGGTCAATATTTTTTTTAAGATAACATAGGTATAACAACAGCAACAGCAGCAGCAACAGCAACACGTTTGTATTTATAGAATTGCGTAATGTTTCTATTTATAGATATTGCGTACTGAGTATCGAGTACTCTGATCCCCTTTCAAAATTCCATTTTATTTAGTTCCGCCCATTGTTTTCTCGTTTAGGGCACACGCTTTTT